CAAAAGTATTTTGGCAAAGTTACTTGAGCATTCAATGTAACGGGGTACCTTTGTCACATGATAATTTACCTAAGGTACTTATCGAGTATGAATATCACGTTATGAAAAACTTAACATTTTCACAAGATCATTTTTAATCGATCATCTTGCTTCGCAGGTTTAATACAATGCTCACTGGATGATATAGTACCAAGATTTCAACAAAAAAGCTGAAGTACGATAGAATGACGCAATGAGTGGTGGGCAGATAGCTACAATACATGTTTGTATTCAGACATAATTAAATGAAGTCAAAAAGAGATTTATTAAAAGGAATGACTATACTACATATAGTTCTACATTTTTACCTTTACTGATTACTCTTGCTCCTCTAAGCACAATTCCTCTGCACATACGTGTACGTGAGGCAGTCGTACGCACACACTCTAGCACTGTTAACAGCACAAGTTTTATTTAGTTACTGAATAAAGGTGTGTCTCGTTGCACAAGCAAATCAGTTGTGCTGCTCCTCAACCGATGGCTATCCGTTTGCCGCATGTTGCATGTTCACAATGTCAATTTCCCGTGACACTTCTGCTTTGCGTAAAGTCCTTGCCTTTCTCTGAGAAGAACAAATTAAAAGCCTGCATACTGTCTTAAAGTCTAATTTGCTTGCACATTTGTGAATAAAAAGATGAGAAAGAGAACCTTTGGCATATCAACAAGAAAATTAGGGAATCCTGAATTACAAGGGTATGGCATCACCACGCAATGTCGGTCAAAATAGACCCTTTTCATATTAATTCCTCTGAATCCAGACAATTTAGGCTATCTTCATTATTATCTACCCTGAATAGTAGTGATACAGCATAGGGCACCGATGTATAAGAGGTTGAGTACAACCTATCGCGAAATTTTCAGAAAATTAATCGAAGGACCTAGCAAAAAAAATTCTTTATGTGGGTACGTTTCTACTTTCCTTCTAGAAACATTGAAAATGGCAGAATTTTACGAATGCTTTTTGTTTGTGCGTCTTATGGTGCTGTATATTTTCTCAAATGTTTATCGAATATTTTGGTATCACGGCATGGTATAATTTTTTTTGTCGCAGTAGCTCATAAATGTAATTATGGAGATCCTATGAAAACTATTTTTGTCCTTGCGCTGTCGGTTTTGGTAATTACGAACTTGGTAGACACTCCACTCTTACTACGTGGTCACACCTTACAAAATCATACAAAATAGGGGAGCAAGCTTTTTAACCAGCTTTTGATATGGGTATCGGGTTTAGTTTGGAGAACTTATCCATGTTGCAAAAACTATACGCTGGCAGTTACTACAGAACGAACATGACTCTTTTTATATATGTATCAACTGAGTTACATACAGTCGGGCATCGCGATTGGCATCTCCTTGATAGCGTGTAGCGTTTGCTTCTTTTTTCACATTTACCTTTTACAGTTTTTAAGCCAACCACATGCGTGCATCTCAGTATTGGCTTAGCCACTGAGTGACACCTATTCTAATAAACGACCTGTGATAAGGAGACAGGCGCGATCGCACTCAGCACTTATAAGTTCACCTGATTGCATTATTTTAATACAGACAGACACACACAGATACGTTCGATTCAAGAGTTCTGCATACCTTGCGCATACTTACTAATGGCTTCATCCTTTGGTCTTGCAATAAACAGTCGTTCAATGCTGGTGCCCCAAAAGCAGGATAAATTAAACGGGCGCCAATCTCAATGCATTACAGAATGTAAGCCCCTCCTCCGATATTCTTTTAACCTCTTTGCACCTCACGTTCTGTGTACTAAAGATATTGGGTTATCGCTCTAATTTGGATAGAGGAATCTTCCCACTTGTATTAGTTGTTCCACAGACATATAATGCTAAAGGTGCGTGAACATGAAACCTCATCTGTATAAGCAATAATTTGCTGGTAATGATGTACAAGTTTAACAACGATTTGCTTCTTGAACTCATATCACTTTAAAATTTGCTGATGAAGCATTGCCGCGGGTCGATTTACCAGTTAAATATCTTGAACGTACTTCTCAGTAACTTAATTTTACCGCGTACAGACACGCGTGAATCCCTAGTTTATCAAATTCACGACTATTTATATTACTAAATAATAATATCATAAAATAGACCTCAATCAGAGCAGCAAGAAAGAACATTTATGTGCCCCACCATGAATTACGTTAACGCAAAGCAGAATTTGCCTATCGTAGGCAGACAAGACCACGCTAAAGCTCGAAGGCGTGGGTAAGCGTTTTCTTTCTGGCCTCATAACCGACTTGATGCGCTTACACTGCTTTCATGCCTTCATAATCGCTATATATTGTACATTAAATAAGTACCTTGATTCGTCGATACCGCATTGCCGGCGCAGGTAATAATATCACTATTTGAAGTCGACAGCCCCGTTGTCTCACAAATTTGTTATGTATTATAATACTATCAACGAGTGCACGCGTCCTAACGTATTATATTCAATTCTCATAGGCCATAGGTAAACAGATTATCACAGGTTAGTCATCTAGATCATTCGCCAGGGCCCGTTCTGCTCCGTGTATGGAGACGTTGGAGCAACGTAATATAGTCCACCTCTAAAACACCAATGTTCGTAGGTAGCATTGAAAGGTGAAACAATTCTTGAGGAGGCATTAAATCATCTTCATAAATGTAAAGCAAAATACCAATCTATCGTACCGAAATTTGGCATTTTTTGTGAAGCCGCCTGAGCAGCAGTCAAACATGCTACAAACAAACGACACCACTTCCTTGATCGACTTGATTGAAATCGAGCTGCCAACAAGATTTTTGAGAGCAAAAATTAACATTACGGACGCTAGACATGCCGGCACAGTCTCTGTTCCTATAAGGTATAACTTAATGTTAAGAGGAGTGATAAGCACGTTTCATATTCCAAAGGAGCAGCAGTATCGTAATAATTGTGTATTTTATCTATGGGTGTTCAGGTTTTTTTAGAGGGTCGCTTTCAGTGAAAATTCACTAAAACCCGTAATTATGAGGCTTCAAAATCAGTAGAGGTGAAAAATTGTCTTCACACTTTTGTGCGAATTAGTCTGCCAGACTTTAAAATCTTAAAAACTTAACATACGCTGACACGCAACACACCCAGAGCAAAACGCCACACAAATCATGAGCCGTTGTGAGTTTTTATCAACGGTCAAAGTAGAGCTTTACGCATACCGACATTGTGCTCTTTTCAAGCTAGGTATGATGGTATGTGAGTGAAATCTACATTATTGAATGAGTCGTTTTTAAGTTTATAATGGACAGCGGCCGCAAATTTATCGAGAGCTCAACGAACTCAAGACGAGGCTGAGAGAAATTAATTTTTTTTGTTTGGCGCTGTCGCAGAACTAACATGATAGTGCAAAAATAGAAGGTGCTGGCGTTTGATTTAGAAATATAGTACATGCGTGAAAAATATGCTAAATGATTTAAAATCTAGAGTTTGCGCCAGACGAAATGTAGAGGACCGCTTTTTAATCCTTTCCGTAAGCCCTCCTCGATGATCATTGGACTGGTTCAGATAATCATGTCTATGTGGCAGGAGGAATACATCTGGCACTTGGATGACTCGCTATTAAATGCTGAGCTCCGTGAAGGTGCTGCTCGCTGCAATGAAGATCAATCGGATGAGGCATACCGTGGTGCAGAACAATGCATAAGGCTTTGCAGCAATAAGAGGTAAGAAAAGAACGACGCATTACAGACAAGCCAATCTTTTTGATAGCGTTCGTATTTTTTTTAATTTTTGAAGATAATGCAGCTGATGGCTCACAAGAACAACATTTATAACCTTACTGAAGTACCTGTAAACAGCTTGTAACTGCTTAGATTTTCTGCTATAAAAACAAATCATTGATCTTATAAACATTGATCCAATAATACGTTTCGTTCGAATTGTATCAATGGGTGATGACACCCGCATTTAGCATGTTGTGTAAACAATGTTGCAGCACGTGAAACAACGCTTAAGGCTTATTATCAAAAAAGATGATTGGTAGTAGCATCATTAATACTAGCAATATTGTTAGTGGAAGTGTTTTAGTAAATCGAATGTCGCTTAGGTTTAAGTGGCTGATAGGCTCTCACTTAAAATTCCAAAAAAACGTAATGTGAAAGGCTCCTGGATGGTGCTTTAGACATTTTACCAAAAAAGTCTCGGTTGTCTTAGGTACTTACTCATGATTCTTTTGTAGCTTGTAACGTTAAAAGCCGTGATAGAGGATACGAATATCGTTCCATCAAAAGTGCGCTAAACATGCATGCTTTTAGAATTTCGCATCTACTAAAAATATTTTAAACACGATGCCCCACTCCGGTTTTGATAATGAATGTTGTTATAAAAAAGAATTAAAGGTCTGTTCTTATATGAGCCAAATTAATCATTTACTAGAGGTTGATGCTTTCCTCCGGATTTGCTAAACAGCTGCCCGGATGTTACAAGCGCCTTCTGTTATGGACGAACTAGCGCCTAAATTTCGTAAATACTTCACTAAAGTGCTGATCACTTTCATTCAAAGGTACAATGATGTGAAACAGTGATATTCCCGTTACCTTCTTACAATATCGGTGTAACGGTCACACTATCCATCGGCTACATTAATTAGAGACCTCCCATATGCGATATGGGAGACAAGTGTGGTCTTAAGTTTTGCATCAATTGAGATTATCGATTAGTCGTTTATTCTCTGAGTTACGGTGCTTACCGTGGAAGTGTTCAAATTAATGCTCGATAGTAAAAAGGATTCTGTTATTACGTTTTAGCCTACCAGTAAACTGTTTAAACTTGCAAACTTCCTCACCAATTAATCGGTTGGTTGCAGTGCAACACCCAGGTTGACCAGCCAGAAAAGACAGTCAGTGTCGTCAGTCGTATCTCGGCCCGTCCTTGCCCATGTGCAAATCTTCCATCTACACTTCTCCTCGACTGCGTCACCACCATAATCCCCTTCTTTTCCTCGAGTCCTGCCTCTACCCGAGGCTCATCAACTCGCACAGCAACGCAAGCTTGGCCGCATCCAGGGCCTTCGTCATTAGGTCAGCAACCTGGGCTTCAGACCTGACGTACTGCGCCTGTATAATCTCGCGTCTTGAGTAGTCCCGCACAAACTTGAGCCGCACATCGATGAGCTTGGCTTTCAAGGAAGAAGCCTCGCCATCCAGCTGCTTGATAGCGGCTTGATTATCGATGTACAGCGTCATCGGCAGTCCGGGTGGCATCCCAATTTCGCGCAGCATCTCTCGGATCCCAAGTAACTCGCGCGTTTGCTCCGAAGCTGCAACAAATTCGGCTTCCATGGTGGATAGAGAGACGCCGCCTTGTTTCTTGGCCGTCCAGCTCACTGCCATGCCGTTCAAGAAGATGACCCCGCCCGTCAACGACTTCCGGTCCAGCTTATCAGCAGCGAAGTCCGCGTCTGAGTGCGACTCCAATTCACTGTCTCGCGCGCGCTCGACGCCGGTGTCATCCGTAGCTTGAAGCTGCAGGTACCCTTCAAGTACCTCGCGATGCGTTTCGCGAGCTTGTAATCATGGACTCGCGGCTGGTGCGTCTGGCGCGTCGCCTTGTGGACAGCAAATGCAATGTCTGGCCGCGTACATCACGACACCCAGAGAAGACTACCGACGAGCGATTGGAAGCTTCGAATGCTTGGAGCTCCTCCTTCTGCATTAATAAGCAGAGCGCTGTCTGCCGTCGGGATCTCGTGACAATCTGCACCGATGGGGGTCCGCGTTGAGTTTGCATCTTCAAGACCATGATCTTTTAGGATGTCGTTAATTGCAACTTCTTGATCGATAATATATCCTCCGTCATTGTCAACCTCCACTCGCATTCCTAGGAACTTGTTGACTGCTCCTAGGTCCTTGATAGACAGACTGCCTAGACTCGCAAAGAAACGATCGACTGCTGTCGCGTCCTACCAGTAGCTAGCAAGTCATCAACGTAGACCCCGACAATCACGAGGTCTCTCCCATCCTTCTTTCAGTATAAACACATATCCGACACGCACTGCTGGAAACAACGTCAATAAGCCGTGCATGTAGTAACTGGCTTTAGAGCCTCCCGCCCTGTTTAAGGCCGTACTAACTCTTGCGAAGCTGTAACGCCAGTTCACTCACGCTCGATGCCCCCAGTGACCTGATATTCTCACTGCTCACGTCCATTCCTCTTGGTACTTGTAAAAGTATCTCCAAATCAGCCTCTTTGTCCGCCTTTACGTAGGTTTTGGGAAGTCACCATGCTTTGCGACGACTCCCCACGTAACTGCAAGAGCCAATGTTATCTTCACCGTGGACATGTCCATCACGGCAGCATATGTGAGGACATAGTCAACTCCAAACACTTGCTCATTGCCGCACGCCACAATTCGCGCTTTAAGGCGTTCGATATCCCCATCAGCAGTCATCTTTGTCTTGTACACCCACTTCGTGTGGAGTGCATTGCTGCTGCTCGGAAGCTTGATAAGATGCCAAACGTCGTTGTTCTCGAGCGCTTCCAATTCATTACACATCGCCTTCTTCCATTCCTCGCTTTTAGAGCTTCGCATTGCTTCGCCGTAGTTCTTCGAATCACGCTCGTACACATGGTTTACGATGCTTGTATTACTTGCTGGCTCCTCCTGACCCGCGAATTCCTGAGCTCGCTTCGACGCACAACGCGTGCCGTGTGACAAGCGGGTCCATGACTTCTTCTTCGATCGTCCTCTACGCACAGTCAATTTCCCTTTCTTCTTCTGCTTTGATGAGATCGCTAGTGACGCCATCGACAACGCAGACGATTCTGCACTCCTGGAAACAGCTGTTTCGGCTTGATCTTCGTATATCAGTGCGCGCTGAAGCTATTCATTTTGCTCGTCACTGAGCGTCGCATTGTTTTTCACATGCTGCGTGACGACCACGATGTTATCCTTTTGCAAAAAAACTCGATAGCATTTAGTTTCGTCGCTCCTCCCGACGATAATTCCAACTTGTGCTCGTTGTGCGAGCGAGTTCTTGCGTGGGTCTCGATAGACCGTGCAACTTGAGCCGAATACTACTATGTTGCGCAAGTCGGGGACAACCTTCATGAGAACCTGTATTGGCATCGCGCGTCGCAGGTTTGCGCTTGTAGGACTCCTATTCACGATGTACGCCGCGTATTCGACGGCGTCTCCCCAAAATGTCAAGGGCAGGCGGCTTGCAAAGATCATGGACCAAGCCATATTGAGAACGGTCCGATGCATCCGCTCCGCCTTGCCGTTCGAAGCTTGATTTCTTGCCTCTAAGCCTTGACGGGCTACTCCAGTGCGCTTGCAGAATAAGTCCACATTCTGGTACTCCCCGCCGCCGTCCGTACGTAGCACGTGAATACGACAATTAAATCGCTTTTCAAAAAACACCAAAAAGTGTTCAAACTTCTTCGCTGCTTAATCCTTAGTTGGGGCCAGAAACACGCGGCAGTAATTCGACTTGTGATCAATAAAATTCACGAGAAATCTGTTTCCATGTCGGTCCTTGGGCATCATAGGTCCCTTTAGATCCGAGCATATAACTCCACCAATCCTGTCGATTAGTGCATTCACGCCGGTGTCCTTTTGCGATTGAGAATTCTTTGTCTGCTTCCCTTTAGCACATGACAAACACGTGAGTCTGCGCCGATCCGTGAGTTTGATCCCTGACGCAGGATCCTTCGCCACTCGTTCCACCGTGTCGAAAGAAAGGTGTCCGAGTCGCTGGTAAAAGTTCATGAGCGTGCCGCTTTGCACTCCCAACGATGACTCAGCCGCTCCTTCTTCAGCCAGTATTGCCATTAGTACATCACTTGGCATGCTCCTTAAGTGCGAAGTTTTCACAGTCTCAACGTAAAGTACGTTGTTCTCCATAGTCAAATCGAAAGCCACTTCTCCATTACTGCGATTGGCGAGCGAGCGCGTCGCGCCATCGTAAACCAATTTAAAACCCTTGAGCTCGAGTTTCCCATATGAGACAATGTTGAGCTCGAGTTCAGTCGCAAGGTACACTTCGGATAGCTTGACCGTCCGCTCCTTGCCACCTGCCATAACGCATAAACGGACGCTACCGACTCTTGACAGGGATATTGTTTCTCCATCCGCCATGTTGCACTGATAGTTGCAGTCTTGTGCATCCAGCAACAGGCTCTCATCCTTCACGAGGTGACGACTTGAACCACTATCCAAGATCCACTCTTCATGCTCGTCCTTCGCATCTTTCCAGCATAACCAAAATGCGGGTTCTTCTTCTAGATTCCGCGATCGTTGATCGCCAAAACGAGGTCTGCGCCATGTTTTCCACGACGACCATCGTACTACTACGGCCTTTGCTTCGACAGTTGGCCTTGATGTGACCGGCCTTTCCGCACCCAAAGCACGTGCGTGTCTCCCTCTTTGTTTAGACCTCGTCCACGAGCGCAACAACATCTCGTCCTAGAGCCCGGCCCTTATGCGACTCCAGCTCTACAGACTGTGCGAAGTGGGCGAGCTCCTCAGCTTGACGCAAAAAATCCAATCTTGAGTTATCGTACTTAGCCATAAGCACCGTACTTAGTTCCGTCGACCCATAATGCACGATATTATCCAACACCTGTTGGTCCGCGCCACCACACGCGTCGCTGACAGCAACCAAGTATAAGTAATGCTCCGGCCAACTTCTGTTGGGGTCTTTACGCGCCGTGAAGAGCTGAATTGACTGCGAATCCGTGATTGTGGTCTTAAAAGTCTGATGGAGCCTTTCCATGACATGATCCAGCGTCGGTAGTTGTGTCCACCACAACTCCAGCTGCTAGTTATAATAGCGCTCCGCGGTTCCGCTCAAGTAGTGTCCAATTAAGTCAGCTTTAACTTCCTCGGACCATGCGAATCCGCACGCATGCTGGGCCATCGTAACTTGCCGGAGAAATTTTCTCCCCCAATCAAGAAAACCGGAGCCAAGTCCATGGTATAGCTCACTACCGTCAAACTTCCTGATCGCCAGCTTTCGTTGACGTGCGTCCGGCACGCGATGCGTAGGGCATGGCACTTGCTGAGCTTGTTGAGGCATCTGTTGCGGTGATTAGCCTTGCCGTTAGTCCGGCGCCGCATACTGCGGTCCGAGCGGCTCAACGTGGGCGCCTTGAGCCGGTGACACACTCGGGTGCTGCCTTGGCTGGTCATGCGCTTGATACACAGCTTTTCGTCTTGGCGGCGAGTTGCCAAGAGCGTCCTGGTGCATCGGTCCAGCGTTGCCCATGTTGCGGCCAAGCAGAGAGCTGAAGAGTCCACTCTCGATTGCACCTCGAAATCGCTCGTTCTCGTCCATCTGCATCTGGGACGCTTCCATGCGCTCCATGCGACCTTCGAGTCCCATGAGCATCTTGAGGATCCTCTCGTTCACGTCCGCGCCCCTTTCGTGGGTTGGCGGGTCGACGACTTCGGCAGGCGGCGTCACGGTCCTTTCGCGACCTGTGATTAGCGGCGCCTGTGCCACGTCGTCGGAGCTGTCATTGGGCTCATAATCTGTTTAAATTAATGCTCGATAGTAAAAAGGATTCTGTTATTACGTTTTAGCCTACCATTAAACTGTTTAAACTTGCAAACTTCCTTACCAATCAATCGGTTGGTTGCAGTGCAACACCCAGGTTGACCAGTCAGAAAAGACAGGCAGTGTCGTCAGCCGTATCTCGGCCCGTCCTTGCCCATGTGCAAATCTTCCATCAACAGGAAGTACTTTGTAGCGTCATCCCTTGATGACAGACTGATGTGCCAACCATCCATTTATTTTGAAAACTAATATTTGTTTTAGTTCTTTTTTAGTGTAGTACACGGTACTTGAATTAGGATTTTCTTTGGTGTAAAATCTAAATAAGCTCAAATCCCAAATTAAGCAGAAGTCCGTAGACTTCCCACCCCCGGACTTTGTGCTTGAAATTTCCTTAGAACTGTCGTGGGTTATACAGTCCTTAGACTCCTGTGTTCCCCTTTCGCACATTGTGCGTGTAGTTCCTTAGAACTACAGTAGTCTGAGCAAATAGCTCATAAAGTCCGCGCTAGTTCCGTAGAACTACCCGACTCTTGAACTTGGAATATTAGCTTCTTAGAAATGATCGGCTACTAGCCCTCACAACTAATTGGCGGATAGCCATAAGCCTCTGGCTTAACTTCCAAAGTCTTCCTCTGACTTCAGATCTGCGGTAGCTCCACATCAATAGGGCTTTTAAGAAACCGCGGTTTCTATAAAGTAAAATTTTTGTTTTTATGTCTTTCAGTCGTTTAAGTAAGAAAGTGCAATCATGATCATGGTAACCACTTAATTGCAGGTCGATTTATTATTGGCGTACTTTTGGGTCTGACACCCTTTAATAATTGCTTAGGACGACGCGCAGTACCCGCTGATCGAATACTGCCTGTGCTTACTTTTGTATTTATGTAAAATTGCTTTTACTTTATAAATAAATGGCTGCCCCAATATACAAAAACATGTAAGGTCGTATGATAGGGGATAAAGAGAACATGAATGCATCATGATTCATCTTGGCTTTGCAAGTCATCATGCAGCGGCTGCTCCACTTGTACGTTTTATTTACAAAACTACATGTCCTGGTGTGTTTAAGTACCGTGCGAATTTGTTAAGGGCGCTTTGATATACAAGGACGATATGAGTTCGATTTTCTGTACATGATTTGTAAGTCGTAGGAATTTTGTCTCGTCTATTATAAAAAAGCATAAACATGATAGTGGTGGTAAATTAATATGGCTTTGAAAATTCTCGTCCCTTACGTAGATTATTAGCTTCGATATTATAACAGTAAACCATCAGAGCCATCAAATGAGATAATCAATGTCTGGTTACATAAACGCATCGTAATGGTTAGCAAAAACACGTTGCTGATTGTTTCCTTAAAGATCACTGGATAAGCGAAAGCAATGAAATTGATCGTGTTTATGCGCAATGGTGTTATAAGCCTTTACACATCACTTCCATGATGGTAATAATCCAGAATGTGCTCGTGCAGCTTCTGTATTAATGACCACGACCTGCTAAAATCGTCATGATGGTACGTAGATACTTTGTTCAAGAACTTTATTTTTAATTGTATGTTTTCACATCAACAAAATGACTGCAGAGATTAATTTTTTTTTATCGTGTTTCATTTGTGGTGTTGGCTTTTGGACACATTTATCTAATAAATGTATCGCATCCAAGTTAATACACAATTGCGAGAATTGGATCAGGTAAAAAGATTGAAAAAATCAAATTGAATTATTTCGACTGAAATGATAAGTGTTGAGTAACTAATGTAAGGCTACAAAAGGTCCCACTATATTTAATGTAATACAACGTTGCTTACGATATGAGATATTTCACGTCGATCTGTTTTGCTCAAACGCCATTTTTTGCTAATATTTAAGGAATTCTCGTCCATATAGAGCATAGAGGTAGTAATACAAGTGTCTTCATCTGAGCACATTAAGTCTAAAAACGATTTTGTAGCACTAAATTAATTTCATTGCACTGACGAAAGCAATTTCGTCGTTGCATCAACTTCTTAGTCTCCGCTCCAAGCTCAATTAAAGCATCTAATTAATTGCAAACTGCTCGTTTTAATCAGTATCTACGTAAAACTTTACGCTTAAGATTTCATTAACCTTTTGAGTAGTATCAGTCAATTTGAAGCAGTCGTGCTGTAATGTGAGCATGGGCTTTCAAAAATCAGTTTGTACACTAGTTTTCGCAACCTGTTACACTTTGTCGGTCAAACTTTAAATCGAGCAACTTTGAATAATACCCGAACCATACTGCCCCATCTATCAACTGCAAATCCTATGCTTTTCAAGGACTTTAAAGGGTGTATAAATGTAAAAAATTTCTGTGACATTCGTTAAACCATTAATTCAATCTCTGTTTTAGTGATTTCTTGAGTCAAAGTACTCTCCTTAGGTACACTAAAATTCTAAAAAAAACAACTGTTAAAGTGGTCATGCTACTTAAAAGTTCTTGATCAGTTCCTTCTTGGAAGCTATATCTTCTGGGACTGTGCTCATGTTAAAAAATTGTTAGCATTTAAGGTTGTGTTTTGTGGCTGTGGTAAAAAAGACTCCATTAATAAATTACACATTAGAACCATTTAATGCTGAATCCCGCATTCGTAGACTGAGACGTTATGGTTGGCTTCTGACGACGTGATCTTGGGTTGATAAAAATTGATTTTAGATATGTATCAACCAGCACAATACCAATACGCCGACGCATATGCTCGTTCGGCGTGCGTGCTTGTGAACGGGATTAAGGTTTTTTAATCGTGTTGACTTGTTAAACTGACAACATTGAGTAAAGTGTTTACAGACTAATACAAAAGACGTCTGTGTCTACCTGTAGAGTAGCTCATGTCTGTCACTGCTTTCTTTAGGTATTCTAGCATAAATTGTACACGCATTCTTTTCATAAGCTTAAACAGGTTGCAGTTTTAATCGATGCTAGGACTCGGTAGTAATATAAAAGGCTAAGATCTTTGGTTTGTCAGCTAGACTGCTGCGTCCATTTGACATGAATAAATTTATGTGGTAACAGTCAGAGCTTGTCGTGCCCAGCATACTGTATTTTCTTTAGGAGTTGCTCGCTTGTGCAATAAAAAATGTAAAACTTATCGCAATGTGTACACGTAGAGACCAAATTAAACCTCAGATGTGAATTTAGTAAATGTCGACGATCGAATGTGATAAACAAGAACGGCAGGGCTCACTTTGTCGTGCCTTTTTGCTGAGTAAGCAGTACAGCTGCCCATAACCATTTTAGCATGATGAACGACATCCACGTGTCAACATACTGCAAGTGCCGCAGAGAAGAACTTCACAGTAGACCAAAGCTGAATATTGAGCTTATTGAGAGAAAATTTTTGTTCGGGCGTCGTACACGGCAAGCCCGAGCACAAAGTGGTGGTGGTCGTGGCCGCCGTTTCCTTGAATTTGATTTCTAGTGGCGGTGTAGGGGCGAAAATTAAGATAGCCAAAATAAAATGATAGTAACATGTAAATTAATTTTTTTAAACGCTTAGTAGGCAGATTCTTTATTTATATATCATTGAATCTTCTGCTGCAACATTTATACTAGCAGGAGTTGAGATCCCTTTTAATTGCCTTTATAAAAACGTACTAAGTCTACGCACAATTTTTTGCTTCATACATTTAAATGTTCCACCGAATATAAGCTTTACTGTAGCAAGCTTGAGACGATCGGATGGAACCCATAATCACAAATGTAGGCGAGGAGATCAATCCAGAGTGAAGGCGCGCATATTTAAACCATGTAAGTAACTTTATTTCTGCATAGAGAGGCGAAATGGTAAAAGTCGTACCAGGCGGGAAGGATGACAGTGACGTTGTTCGATTATCATCATAATTTTTGACTGGAAGCGATATCGAGGCGAAGCTGAACATCGCAATCATGTATTCAAAAATCATGTTAATGTAGTCACTTAATAAAGACAAATTTAATCAGCAAGGCGTATAATTTTGCAGCTTGTACCATTCCACGCTTTTCAATCTCGACACTCTTAAAGCAGCCTACTATTTTATTTTGCGATTATTACGGGGTTGTACATTAAGGATCTACTTGCATTGCGGCAAAGACATGACTATTTAGCAACTAAACTTTTTTCTTGCTTTCGTTTTGACGCCGTGGAGAAAAAATATTTGGTTGCAAGTCATCAAATATGCGGTTTCATAATTATTAAAACACACCACGTAGAGAATGTTGCTCAAAGTATGAATGGATTCCAAGCTATAGTACTTGCACATCATAACATGACATTATCCTCTAGTCTGGCCAGCCATAGCACACCTTTGGTGTTCTAACGCTTGTTTAAATGATAGGTATCGATTGGAAAGCATTAAAATTTTGAATATTAATATCTTGGATAAGTGTCAGTCAGTATGCTTTCTTTAAAAATTAAAAATTTCGAGTAGGAATTCTCTCGCGCTCGAGACCTAATTTCAGCGCATCCTACCCAAACTAAGCTTTTTTAAACATGTAATTTTGTTTTCTTTTAGTTTGAATCACTCAAAAGCAAGTTATTTTATGGTCTCAAGCCGTGGGTTGTTAATTTACTTACGATGTACTCGCAATGACGGCTTGCATACTTTGCACTTCGTAGTAGAAAATTTTCAAGGGTTATTTTCCGTGTTATATTACCTTTCAATTCTGCTTAAGCAGGAATATATTCGATTCCAGGAATACACGTCATTGTGGGCGTAATTGCTATGCAATCCCCGCCCATAATGACATCTTTTACGTCGTCTTTAGCTAACTCCGTGATCCTATAAAGTTTCGGGATGGCTTCAGCTTTTAAAAAATTCTTCGGCTAAAACAAGTGTTAA